TAATAATAAGCATGAGTTTGATGATAATGGTGATGATAGCGACGATGATGAGGACGGTGATGAAGATGGAGAGGCGGAGAGAGGGAAGGAATGGACCTGGGGAGAGGATGGGGTCGCGGAGGAGGAGAGATATTATCACGATCTCCACCACGACGATGACGATGGTGTGCTTCCTTGGGTATGAATAAATAGATCGTGGGGTATTATTTTAGTATGGTTTTTGACATAATAATTTTTTATGTTGATTTGGTATAGTTCCATGTAAATTGAATCGAGGTTTGACGATTGGTGAATGGGAGAGACGGAGTTTTTTCCATTACTTTCATTTTCTACTTTTGGGGTTTCCATTATCCGCTTTTCATCCTTTTCCCCTCCTGGGTTCTTCTTGATCCCTCACCGCCCTCCCACCTTCATCCTCCAGTGACCCATTGCAGTTCTTGGAAAAGGGAAATAAATTCAAAGCATCCCCCCTTTTCTTCTAATCTTCTAATCCTGTTCGATTTTCAACCCTCGTCTACACAGGAGTAAAAAGGTGGCAATGAAGGGTGTTGAATGATAGAAATCAAGTATTTCATGAATCTTTACTATTCTTTACTCCACATGCCAATTTTATTTGTTTATTTGGCTTATTTAACTTTGAATACATAGTTAACTTATTTGAGACGGAACCAGCCATTCATGCGAGTGAAAGCACAAAAAAAAAAAAAAAAAAAAAAAAAAAAAAAAAAAAATTTAAAATAAAATAAAAAGAAAAAGGAGGTTCCCCCCATCGGCAAATGGAATCCTCTCATGAACGCAAAAACAAAAACAGCCAGTATAAATTTCTACATAAGGAAGATGAGTATCACGAAAAGCGGATTTGCAATGTATATATATATATATCCAACATTACCAGAATATAAATTTCTACAAATTTAGGTATATAAAAGAGAAAACCGAAAAAATAAAATATCCCCTCCCCCGACTCACTTGCTCTACTTGAAATTATATGGTGTATCGCGCCCTGTGGAGAGACATAACCTACCTTCCACGAAAAAATAGCATTCAAAAGAGGGCCGCGGGAAGAGGAAAATGTAAAGGGAATAAACTGAACAGAATACGAAATATATACCCCCAAGAATCGAACCTGCTAATCGCATAGATGTGTGTGATTGAAAAAGAAAGGAAGAAAGAAAGAAAGAACAAAGGATTAAAGAAATTAAAAATCCACGTAGAAGATAGAAAGATGGCCAACGAAAATGGAGACGACAACGCAATTCTTTCCCTATCAATATGAGGAACAGAAGAAGGGTAGATAGGGCGGAAACAATGCAAAGAGACAATGGATTAACCAGGTCCCCTTATAGCAGTATGGGTTTTGAGAAAAGGACAGAAATATTAAACAGGCTGATTATGAATAAATATATGCCAGCCAGCCAGCCTATCCGTAGACAAAAGGACAGGAAAAAGAAAAATAAAAAATAAAAATAAAAACAGAAAAACCCAAAAGTCCCAGGCAGACCGGCGCGTTAATAGGATCATCAAAAACGCCAAAGGAGCAAAAAAAGGCAAATAAAGAAACTGTTTAACTTCGTCATCCAGACAATGGTCATCATCGTACGTAAAATCATGGTAAAAGAAAGAAAAATCCGATAACGACACATAACAAGGCCAAATGATACTCAAATAGCCCAGCTGCCCCTCCGCGCTCGAGCTCCCCACGCATCCATCCCAGACCCATCGTCAGGTAACTGACACCCTTCTGCCTTAGCCATCCTCGGCTGCTGCCTCGCCCACTCATGAATATACAGCTTCAGTGCCGTCCAGCGCACACATTTGCCGGATGACACCACATTCTCACCCGCACCAAGGCCTTCGGGGACACCCAAGTACCCCTTGGCGTTAGCGCGCTTGTCGTCTTTCCGTAGCTCCTCGATCGGGATGTGCGAGATCGTGCTGAGTTCCTCATCATAGTAGCGGGCGAGGCAGGGGTAGCCGAGAGAGAGGTAGTTGTAGATTTGGGTTACGAAGGCGTCATTGAATTCGCGTTTGATGTCTTGTTCGAGGAGGAGGAGTTCATCGACGTTGTCGAGGTCAGGGTTAGAGTCAGGTGGGGTTGTAGGGAGATGGGAAGGACTATCGAGGGTGCGCGGGGGAGCAGATCTTGTGGCGGTGTTGCTGGCGGTGGTGGTCATGGTGATGCTGGTGAGGCTTTGGAAGGAGCCATTTTCATCGGTGGCAGCGGGGGTGACTATCCCAAGTCTGGGTATGACAGAGGATGATTGTTTTGGCTCATCGGTTCGGCGACATAGACCCATCCACAAGCCGCCGTTTTCGAAATCGTCATGTTGGGGGTTTGGACTCCAGAGTCCTTCACATCTTATGGGATCTATGCAATTGTCGGCATGGTGATGAGCCGGGGGATTGTCGACTTCGCATCTGGTTGCTTGGGGTGATAGGCTTTGGGGAAAGTTGATATCTCCTCCAAGCATTGGCGGGCTGGTGTATTCGCTGACTTGGTTCAATCCCATGAGGGCCTGGTGAGAAGCTTGGTGTACTTTCAAGACATCGTTTCCGGCCGCCTGTCTAGCGGCTATTGCAGCAGCTGAGAATCGGGACTGGCCTGCGTCAAACACCTTTTGGCGGGCTCTCATTTCAGATTCCTCCTTGTGTCTTCTCATTTCGTCCAGTTCCCAACTAAGATCAATGGTTGACTCACGCCGGAATTTCAAAAAATTCATTTTCAAGTCACGCAGTGATATAGCCATACTGTCGCCGCCGTCATCTGATATGTCCTCTTCTTCTCGATCAATAGCAAAATGAGAAACAGTTTGATGGACTTGTTCGTTAGGGAAAGCGGCAAGGGCTTGATCCCTCAGCAGCTTTTGTGCCGAACGTGAAGCCAGAGACAGAAAATAGCCAGAGTACCTCTCATCGCATCTTTCGCGCAATAGGCGTTCCTCCGGGTATAGTCTATTGCTACTGATATTGGAGAGAGTCGAAGGAGAGGTTGGAGGCGACGGAACTTGGGACCTCTCGGAATCCTCACTGCTATTCGATGCTATCGTTGAAAGTGCCGGGACTTGGAATGACCGCCTCTTTTCCTCTTGACGACGGAGAATATTTGCATATGAGTATCGGGACTCCGTGCTTTCTGGCGCGGACAGCTTCTGCTGTGAAGCTGAGGATGGAGATGATAGCCTATGCTCTGGATATTCTGCAGTGCCTCGTACAAGACATTTCTGACGGACAGAACGCGTTGCAGTTTCAATCAGCTGCGGGGATATTTTTTTGGACACGTCCGATCCCGAAGAGGACACTCCCGAGCGTAATGGGAGATTCTGATGAAGACGCATGTGGCCCTCAGATGAAAATCCCGTTTTGCCATTGCCAGCGACATTGTTGGGAGGGGAATCTGGATCAGTTTCTTGTAATTTATTTCGGCGGCGTTCTGACGTAGTTTCAACGAACTGTGGAGCTTTCCGACCTGCGGGCCCAGAGATCGGTTTACGGGATGACCGTGAGGTGGTCTCGATAGGTTCTGGAACAAATTTCCGTTTCGGAGAATCATCTTCCAAACATTTGGCACTTTGTATCTGGTGTTTCCTATCCTTGGAACTGCTTGTAAAACTTTCAATCCGTTGCGGCAGGGAAGCTCTCGTCATGCTTTCTGCAGACTCCCGTAACTGCGGAAGATGTCGGGGAGATGTAAGTTGGGAGGAGGTGGGTTCAGCGTGGTCGTTTGGTGAGAGTTGTTCTGGCAGGTTAGGTACAATAACCCTTTGATCATTCGCTTCGGGGAATCGATCATTTGTTGCTGATATTCTGGAAAGATCGTACTTGGATGCGAATGGGTTGGAGGATCGGGAGGAAATCTCGATGGGTTGGGGCAGTACTCCCCCTCCCGAAGGAGCGGGAGGGAGGTTTTCCGCCATGGATACGGAAAGCTAAGCAGAAGCCTTGTTGAATAGGGCTTTAAACGAGCTGGATTCTCCGTATAATAATGTCCTCGTCATATAGAGGGTATAGAGTTCCAGGGGAAGAAGAAACCTTAAGAGAAAGAAGTAAAAGTCGGAGAGACAACTGACAAGAGCCTCGACGGCAGTCTGTCAGTCATCGACAGGGGCCCTCGAGGCACAAACCAACGCAAGCTGGATGTGGTGTGTGATAGCTGTTGAGGAGGTTGTTGCGGTGAAACAATTGTTGGGAGCTGTGCTGGGAGAGGGGCAAGGTTTCGTATCTGTTGTTACCAGACAAGGGGGAAGGAATAGATTGCCTGATTATAGAATCGAATACAAAAGACACACTAGAAAGAGGTAGGCAAGTTGTAGAGAGCGAGCAAATCGGCAGAGGATACGTGATGAAGCTGTTGTTGGCATCAAACCATTGAGGTATTATAGGATGTTGATGGGATGTCTTGGCCGTTCGTCGGGCCAACTGTGGAGCCCCAGCAGCCAGCGAAGGCGATCGGACGCGTGCGCGCGGGACAAAACCGATGTCTCGGTACTCGTATTTACATTTCAAAAATAGAGTCTGCAGTTCACATGCTCGATTCATATGATTATCAATTGTGGTTTATGCACGCTTCTCATCTCAGATGGTTCTTTTTCCAGCAATATACCCTGCTTTCGCGAGCTCGGAGCTTAGTAACGTTACTAATGGGGCAGCTGCACCGATAGCTGGCAAACCCCACAGTGGGTTGATAGGCGATAAGGCGCTGTTGGGTGAAACCAGCTTGTCGGCCACGATACTGGGATATGTCGGAGATGCCTAAGGCCAATAAAGAAATCCCACACTGGAGAATCCACGGGCTGTTTTGGCTGGATACGACTCTTTTCTCTTTCTCGCTTTTTTTTATCGCAGTGGATTCAAAGAGATTGCTGAACTATAAGTGAAAAGTTGAATCACTCATTAGCACTCTAGTTCCAGCAACATTGAATAAACTTTTCTCAAAAAAACAGGAGACTGCATTTAAGCTCAAGATAGTACTAGTCTAAAACCTCTTATATCATCCCTGCTGTTCACGATTGCGATCCAAGTTCTATCATGCTATGATACGCCTCTCCTGCTCTTGCCTGCTCTTGCCTGCTCTTGCCAACTGCAAGCAGCCTGTCACTCAGCAGGTCTGCAACTGTAGCTGCGAGCCCGATCACCCCAGTCTTGGTGGCGCAGATCCGGATACCCAGGGTGGTGGACCTGAAGCTCATCTCCATGACACTCCGGTTGCCTAGCGTAAAACAAAAGGAAAAAAAAAAAAAAAAAAAGACGATTAGAGAAAAGAATGATCAGTGAACACCCGGTGGTAGAAGGGAAAAGCTTACGAGTACAGCGTGCATCGGCTTCCCTGGTCGGAACTAGCCGATTTGACTCCTTTACCGTGAGGGAACTGATCGACTATGGTAACTATGTGTTGCAATTATGGATTTTAGTGACATAAACGCTGATTCTGCTGTATTCCGTGATTTGGTTTAATCGCTCGAGATCCAAAGCTTACCGCACTGTCCGAAGGGAGTTGCGTAGTGGACGCAATGTCCCACAAAACCTGAACGGTCGCAGAGATAAAGGCCTGCGTTTGAGAGGTGATATGAGATAACAGCCTCTTCGGTCGTTTTGACTCCGTTGTTGAATTTGACCTGGATGCTTTGCTCCAGTGGTGCTGCCGAAACAGAAAGGGTGAGGGAGAGCAGGAAAGCCAGACTGATTTTGGATTTCATGTTCGACCGGGGGCAAGAAAACCTGTGCTGCTCGCTGATTGTAGATTCGGTATTTCGGGAATGGCATTCAACAAGTTGACGAGCCGATGTAGAGCTTGATGCAAATAACTGGATTTTGTCCTTTTTGAGAAGTTTCGATTTCTTTGAGGAGGAGATGAACGACTCCTCGTTGCCGTGTTTCCCTCAGCTCTGGATTTCCGAGAACTTCGTGCCGTTATGCAGCAGCGTTGTCACGAAGCATTCCGA